CGGTAGTCGCCGCAAGGTCTCCAACTAACCCCATCCTTTTTGCGCACCATGTGTAAAGGAGAGGCCCAAGGACTGTGAGAAGGACGAATAATACCAGCAGATAGTAAATTGTCAAACTCACGTTTAGCGAAAGCTAATTTGTCCGGTGCCAGTCGGCGTGGTCTTGCCGTGACTGGTGGTCCGCGGGTGACTATGTGGTGTACCACACGATTGGTCACCGATGAAATCTCCTCGAATGGTTTAGTTATTCTGGGGAATTTCTCGAATAAGGCGTGGAATTTATCGTCACGCGAATAAAAAGTGACGAGGATTCGGTACGCGTACATCGGAGTCTATTATATTAATACTATTCTTATCGTTATCCGTCATGTCAAATATATTATATATTAAAAATTGATATGAAAATATATGACAGACGTGGATAGATAAAACAATAGACTCACCGAATTGCCTTCTTTGGAAGATTTGACCGAGGTTGAGGCGTGTTCCAATATTTGGCTCACCATTTGTAGCGTGGTGTCGAGTTGAGCTTGACTATGAACACCGCTACAAGACTACGTGCCAATTAACCAATAAGATCCCCGTAGGCCAATATCAGAAGACAGATGATGGCTGTAGTCGAGATGTATTTGTTGGCGATCTCGTGGTATCGAAAGAATACCGAGATCGTGCCAAAGGAGTACAAGCGTGGTTACTGAGCGTAACCGAATTCGTACAAGTTCGAAGTCAACGGGAGAGTAAGTATAATGGCTGTCATTAGCACAGTTAAACAAACGAGCACAGTAAAACAGTCACTGGTACAATTGGTTATAGTAATAATTGTTTTCATCGAACCAATCGCGTTCTGTTGACAAAAGTAGGTCACTACACCTTTTTCCCATATATGAGAAATCCGGAATCAGCGAACATCGTATATGGGTGCAGGTTTCGTGAACATTAGCACCGCACACACGCATTGGTATCATTGTCATTCTGAGCGCTAGATTACGTACTTAACCGATAAACCGCATCCATTCGTAGTAGGCCTAACTGTAATATTTTCCTACAATAATCGATTATTACCGATACTTGTGTCTAATAGAATATGTACTCTTGTAAGGTGCAAAACAACCCGGTCTTCAAGCGACTTTAGGAAATATGACCTCATTGTGGTTAACATGTCAACAAGAAGCCAATCAAATGGTTAGTCTGTAAACGTCCCATTATATCACTGACCTTAAGAAACCTATTCGAATCTAAAAATCGGCTCTGAGTAGTTTTGTTTATTTACATTTTATGTCTTGATCATTCCTGATCATCGGTCTAGTCATAAAAAGAGGTCTTGATAGACTCGATGTCATGTGCTTAATCGAGTTAAGAGATGAACGCAACTTCTGACAGGTTCACATTGATATTTACTGAAAATGTTCCATTTTAATGCGAACTCGCGCCTAAGATGTCTACAAAATGTCTATTTCTATCCAGATCACCATTATGTACTGTGAAACCAAACATTTATGTGTAACTGAGCATTCATTTTTTGCATCTGATTATTCTAAAAAAACAGTGGAAATTTATTCGAGTTCGACTGAATTTATCTGCTTCTTTTTCCGAAATAGATTCCTCTTCGTTTTTGACTTTAGGAAGACTCATCAGACGGATGGTTAGACACCTGGTAGCCAGACAGAACGTTTGAAAGCAGTGCGCCATCAGTGTGGTGTTGAGTGGCCCGTCCATGGCACTCTTTGATATACTCACGTCTCAATTTTTTACCTTCCACTCTCTGATTTCATGCCCAGAGCATCAAAAATTAATCGTGTACAGTAATCTGTGGAAAGTTGTTAAATGATGCTATGACAATCTAACAAAGTATGTGACATCTCTAGACCATCTCTGGATATTGATTGAGCAGTAGTGTTCATTGATCATACAAAAGCATTATACAAACACTGAACGAGTTAGTAATTCCCCATCAGGCTGTGGGACTCGAAGTGACATGTTTTTCAACCGACATTTCTCTCTTCCTTAGTTGATGAAGAAATCCGTGACTTAATTTCGAGTCTCTCGATGCCACAACTACACATTATTTTAGGACGTGAGATAATAAACTGTTTATCTTTGTCGGTCAGTCAAGGAATGCAAACGATTTTCCAGGAGGAAACATTAGGTGTTATGTCTCCGTCACAACCTGCAACTACCAGTACAAATCATTCTTACCGATCTGGTTGCATTATTTACATGCGTTTTAACATAAGGGACCTTTAAGGTTTCGTTGAAGGTCAAAAGTTTACGATTACCCCCTGTCGTAAAATCCTAATGACTCATCCATTGAATACTCTATTGGTGAGCCCTACTAACCGGACTCCAGTTCTCAGTCCAGACGCACGTTACTCAGGTTTCACTTGAATTTTCAAGCCGCCTAACAATAACAAAGGCAACAAGTCTTTAACTACGAATTCAGTTTCATACATTAATAGTGAAATCAAACCAAGCGTTAGAATGAGGTGGCACCAGGTAAATCATCAGTTTGCTACTATGTCAAATAAAAGATCACACAGTGGCCGTTATGCATATAGTTCTCTACTTCAGCCCGAATACGTCATGTCTAGTTTTAAAGAATAATTTTCGAAGATGGATCCTATTCCTCGGCAACTCTACAACTTTTTCACAGATCCATGTCGGTTAGTCTGATAGCCTAGAATGATTTTAATTTCTCAAATGTAACCGAAGGCATATACTTTAGAGATTAAGTGAAGTGTGATCACTTCTTGTTAGTTCGTTACAGGCGAGACGCCAAGACATCTGTTAAAGGCCCTTAGTCGAATATTTCTAGAGCGAAATCCATAATTTCCATAGTTCGTGCATTTGAGACTTTAATGCACCTGACATTAGTTGGACTGAAATGACCACAGAAAGATCTATAAACTCCTTTGATAGTAGGTTCCTGATAACAATAATGGAGCATGCATTAGTGCAGCATGTATCCAAACCTACACGTTTTGGTGCTAACCAAGGTTCACTCATGATACTGAAGATATTGTCGACCTAAATGTTCTCCCACCGTTAGTGAACAGTGATCACGCTGTTTTGTCATTCTCATTTAGAACTAGGGACATGTTATACGACCAGGACGCACCCCGCCCAAATATATGGAAGGCTAACATATCAGCCTTTCAGAAATGCGCTGCTAAGACAGATTGGTTTGTAGATACTAGCTTATCAGTCGAAGAAGCATGGTCTGTATTTAAAGGTAAGTTTAGTTTAGTTACGTCCTCGTTCATACCATACTTGATACCGCGAAGACCACCATGGATAACCAAACCAGTTAAGAAACTTCTTAGAAGGAAGAAGCACTGGAATATGTTCATCTCTACTGGCTTACAACAATACCGATCCAGTTACTGTAAGACTAGGAATGCTTATAAAGCGTTAATAAGTAAGACTAGACGATCATACGAAAAACAATTGGTTAGGGATTCTAGATATAGTCCGAAACGGTTATTCTTGTATATAAAAAGGCGAACTCAGGGAATTGATGGAATTCCATCACTTTTGATACAAGAAAATCCGTTAATCGTGGCAGAAAATGATATTGAAAAAGCTGAAGCTTTATCGGAATATTTCAGTAAAGTTTTTTCTATCACTAATAAGGAACGACCAACGATTCATTATGATCGTAACGGCTCGCTGATGGATCCTGTGGTCATTGAGAAAGGTACTGTTTTAGGGCTACTTCAGCATATCAAACCTGATAAGTCCAGTGGTCCTGATAATATTCTTCCTAGGATTATGAAAGCCATATCAGATGTAATTGCTGAACCATTAGCGATACTGTTTGACATGTCTCTGAAGCAGTCCAGACTGCCCAGAGACTGGAAAAACGCTGTAATAAGTCCGGTGTATTAAGCTAGGAGTAGAGATTTAGTTAGTAACTATAGACCCGTTAGCTTAACTAGTGCAGTTGTAAAACTGATGGAAAAAATCATTCGGATATCTGTTATAAACTATGTTGAAAGGCATAATCTTTTCTCCAGGAAAAAACATGGTTTTCGGAGAGGCCTATCGTGCTTGACAAATCTTCTCATTGCAAGAGAAGATTGAGCTGCTGCAAAAGATCAGAATATTCCTGTAGATGTGATTTTCATAGATCTAAGTAAGGCTTTCGAAAAGGTCTCTCATTGTGGTCTTAAATTCGAACTGGAACGCTTCGGAATCCATTATACAGTCGTAGATTGGATAAGTAACTTTCTCCATGACAGGAGACAAAGTGTAAGGGTTAATGGGTCCATTTCTTCGTGGGTACCTGTAAAAAGTGGAGTTTTCCAAGGTAAAATCCTCGGTTCTCTTCTCTTTTTACTTCATGTAAATGAATTACCAACTGTATCAAAATCATCCGTTCTACTGTTCGCCGATGACATAAAAATTTGGAGACTCATACATATTATGTCGGACAGAATAGCATTACAGAATGATCTTAGCTCATTGGTGGCATGGTTAGACGGGTGGTCACTTGAAGTAAATCCTAATAAGAGTGTGGCGATGCAATTAAATAACAATGATGAATCGTATCGCTATACAACACGTGGATTCGTGCTACCCAAAGTAAGAAACTGTAAAGATTTTGGAGTCATATAAAGTAGTGATCTCAAAACCATTATTCACTGTAAGGCTGCTTCTGCGAAAGGCTATAGGGTATTATGGTCTATTCGTAGGTCTTTTCAGTATTTAGATTATGAAATTTTTAGATTACTATACCCGGTTTGTGCGATCACATTTAGAATATAGAATTCAAGCAGCGAGTCCTTGTTTCAAGTATGAAGCAGATATGCTAGAGCGAGTCCAACGACGAGGTACTAAGATGGTACAAGGTCTATCTGGACTATCTTATGAAGATAAACTGAAACACCCCAACTTATTTCCGTTATCTTACCGTCGAATACGGGGTGATCTAATATTGGCTTATCGTATACTAAACGATGACCTTGGTATTAACATGTCCTATCTTTTACTTCCATCAAGTACTGGTCGTTAGAGAGGACACTCGAAAAAAATTCAAAAACCGAGATCAAATCGTTTACGTTTGGAGTTGATATATTCCAGACGAGATTGAACCTCCACAGTATTACAAACTGCAAGGATTAATACAGGTCGATAGATATCCTATCCTTATTACTGAAGACTGAGAAACTTTCCCACTGAGATTTGGCTAATTTTTACAGATTCCTGAAGCACACTAGCAGAAACCAGACCTCAATATGACTAAAACCGTTCTATGAAAAAGTAGCCACAGTACCAACAAAACTAATAATTCACTGTTTCTACAACAAAGTTTGATGTTTGAATCCTATTCTACCGTTTATTTCGAAGGCGGCAGTACAAATGACTCTCCAAAGTGGAATACACGGTAATAATACTTTGTTAGTTAGTTTAGTTATTTTTAGCTGACCCATATGAAACATCTAAACTAGCAGACTGTAAAAGCCTTTCGTATAGAGCCGTAAAGCTCATCATAGATAAAGAAAAAATAGTATTACTTATGAAAATACCATCTAAAGGTTCTTGGGAAGATGATTTTGATGTTGTGATGGGGAAGCTTTTAGATGCCAGCTCTCCGTGCTATGTGTTTTATCGCCTGGATTCCTTCAACTCCTTTGGAAGCGACTGGATCTTTATATGTTATGTTCCTGAAAGTTCTGACGTAGGTCTTGGTTGAATTAATGTATTAATATCGCTTCAACTATTCGTTAGGTGCGTCTAAAAACGATATATGCAGCCACTAAGGCAACTGTTCTTAAGCAGTTTGGAGATAACCTTATTAAAGACGATATAACAATAAACTGTGTGGTAGGTTCTGTAATTCTTGCTCACATTTTAAGGGTGAAATGAACTTAAGGGCCTATAAAAAAATTATGGAAAGTAAAACTGCCCCTGGACCTTACACTGCAGCTGAAATTGAGGTGGCTGGCATCCACACAGGAGAAGTATGTTGAGATTTTATTCATTTGTCTAAAGGTGACCACTGGACTGCATTCCAGCTATCAAACAATCGGTGGTGTTTCATTCGCGCTTAGTCCTGATTCTCGCTCTGTGTTAAAGAAATTTAGTTCGGGAGAGTGTGATTACGTTCAGTTAGTAAGTTTGGTCAATGCATAAAACGTGTTAAGACAGTTAAGATTGATTTTTTACATTCTAGTTGGGATTTTAAACACTGAATCGAAATTATTACATACTTAACCTGTGGCATGCATTACTTAACTTGTACTTAGTGGTGAAAAACGTTAGTTTAAGAGTGATACTTGGGAAAACAGAAATATTCAAAGTCACATGAGTCGTTTTGTGTATGCCCATTCATCTACTTGACATGTAATGAGTCATAACACATCACATGGACATCTCTATTTGAACTGAGGTATTCCATATTAGGATTTGCATTAAGAACCCATTCGTTGGTCCCCAACAAATATACATATATGGGAAAGTGAATGATTTATCAAGTGATTTAAGCAACTAACACTTGGGCTAGAGATAGAGATATGTGCGTAGGATGTCACATGTGATTAAGTATATATGTTCATTCAGACATGGTAATAATAAAACCAAGATAAAAAAATTGTTGCTATTCGAATAATACTGTTAAATTAGTTGGTTTTGATAAAACTAAACGTAAACGGACTTAAGTGTTGGAGAGGTGTTATAATGGTAGTAGCTTTAGATTTCTGTAAAAAGTAGTCCGACGACTTGGTATTTTGTTGCCTAACCTATCGTTTGTAATTTTTACCAGAAATGTGATATCCTTAGTGAAACCATCAAAGTTTGCGGGACTCGTGAACATATTACGCCAAAACAAATAGCAGAAATTTGTCCAAAACAGGAAGGTCGTTATCATCTTTTCCGTTTCCGTTATATGTGTGGAGGTGAAGAACATTCTGCTACCTGTAAGTTTAACATGCATTTCAGTAAGTACTTTTTTGGGACTCCTTTAAGAATTTTTCATTAACTTTGCTTTTGTTAAGGTATTCCAAAATACTATCCGCTCTTATCGTGTTTGGTAGGGCTGACAAGTAAATACCGAAAATAGTATTAGCTGAAGTATCTGAACTTTAAGATCTGGAGATTCTGTCTGAAATACAGTTAGACATGAATCTACTGATCCAAATGATGTCATTTTACTATTTCTATCAGTATATAGGGCAAGTAAGCACATCTGGACAAAATATCATAGTGAACAGTCATTTCAGTCTGTTTGAAGGAATCGAAAAATTTTACTTTGAGTTCATCATACGCAATTTTTCATTCGCCATTAACATAGATTTTAATTAGCAGTTGTCACTGCATAAGAATAACTTGAACTAAGCTCACAAGAGGTCCGATTGTGATAGTCAACAACCTGTTCTTAATTGATAAGAGGCAATAATTGCATCGTAAGCAGTTTCAGCGTGATAATTCGGTCAATATTGTCGAGAACCAGAGAGAATTAGTGTACGATGCTATTATTTGGATGTATTGACCTATCTGTTTCAAAGTTTTGTAGTTGTTGATAATGTATTTTATTCACAGGAAACGTTGTGTTCACCTTTCTGTTTCAGTTTTTATTCACACGATTTCTGGCAATCAAAGCCCAGTAAAAAGCCGAATGTTGTATTCTAGTTGCAAGGCAGCCTTACTAACTCGGTTGGAGCGTGAATTTCAAATAACCTTTGATCATAGAGTAAGACATAATTTCAATTATTTAATACACATACTGTTTATTACATATTTTGAACCTCTATTTTTCCTTGAAATTTTGTAGTAACTTCTCTATGCCTGAGTAAACCCAAAACTCTTCTTTTATTCGTTTATAAAAGAAGTATGTTATTCGAGCTATACAGCAACGTAATCGATTTTTTCACACTTTGACTTTATTTATAACACTAGTCATACACGTGTTCTTTTATCTATCTGTTGTAACCAGTATAATAGCACTGTCTAATTGGTAAGACTTATAAATTAACCCTGTTGCCACTGTTATACTTGTGTCGCCTTCTTTGTGTCCGCGGTCCTACTGCTTAAACATGATGACCGAGGACCACTGTGATTCTCACAATGCAGACTAAGAACACAAAAGACTGATGAAAATGAAAATCTATTAATTCTCCAAAACACTTCGTTCAGACAAATTCGCTCACTTATAAACTGATTTTGAACATTATTGATTATATTTGTAACCATATAAATAAAAAGAGACATGGGGTTACTGTAAAACAAATACGGAGTTCATAAAGAATAATACAAGCATATAATTGTCACACTGGACGAAAGGTCACAATTGTTATACTGGATGGAATTCACACTTGATCGATACAAAACATGTTGACCTGAAATAATGTCTCACTGTCTAATATAAGATTAACATTGTGGTAACTAAAATATCTCATTGAGCAAATACGAACACGCCTTTTCTTGACTTACCAGAAATTCAACTGCTGCTAGGAAGGCTTCAAATTACCTCGATCTTAATGAATTGTAATTCTAACAAACATGGATATTCTTTGTAAATTTTTAATCCATTCTACCCCACTGATCTCTTATCCGGTTAATTGCTTTCGCTTTTCGTCTGCCACAGTTTTAACTTCTTAGATGGGATGTCATGCTTTTTCTGAATACCCACGCTCTCTCTTCGGTCTCGTTGGGGGAGGTTATCGATATAGGAGCGTTATGGGGGATAGTGATCAGGCTTATTAGAAGTCATAGATCTCATCTTCTATTAAAAAAAGATCTTTCAGTCGCTCAATTTAGAGTAATTGTAAGCTATCCCAAAATATAAAAATGACAAAATGTCATTAATTTCATAGGTAAACCGTAACCTCAGTTGACAAAAAATGTATCGAGAGTTAATTCTCAGAAAGATTGCTTTTTGTGTGGTTAGCATTGCTTATTTTAAGATTAAAAACAAAAACCATATTCTCCAATGTGCTGTACACTTCATGCTGTGTGAATTTACATACGTATCGAACAGCGCCCCAGTAATAACATAGTGGATTAACAAATTTTGCATTTCATGAAAGTGTATGTTTCTAGATATATATAGAGTTAGTGTATATTACGTCTCAAATTTTCCGTTTCAAAAAATCCTGTTACTCTATACTCTCAATCTTTTAACCTTATTTTTTTAGATGCTGTGAAATGATGTTTCTATAGTAAAATTTTAAACTAAATTAAGGAGTTAAAAGGAAATAATGTTTGTTCATAGTTTATATCACAATGGATATTTATACGAATATTCATCAATATTAGAACGACTAGTTTGACAAAAATTGGGTGCAGCGTATAGGGAAGTCATTATAGGTGAAAATTATATTTGAAATATTCTCAGCGATTGCAATTTAAATAATTCCAACGTTTTGTCTAGCAAACTTGTAAATTTATTGACAGTGATTTCTACATGACTCCTTAATGTATTTCGCAAAACTAGGGTATGGATGAATTCAACTGTTGACTACATAAATATCGTTCAACAACAGTTATTTATTTATTTGAACATATAAACACTGCTACAAGGGGGCACCAGATACATATGCGACACACATATCTCATTCGATTTGTGTGGCGGCTGTGATACTGCCCGGGTGTCCAAACTAAAGCAGGTGGTTTCCTTGGGGGGTCACACCCGGAGCCTTCGACCTAGAGGTCTGATCCACAAGGCAGTGGAGCATCGTAAGGAGATTCAGTCCCATGGTAGCCGGTGTCCAACGACTGGTTCATACGCCATTTGTTCCTTCAGGATACTGGAACCCATGTACGCCATTGGTCTGGAATCGTGGTTTTCCAACCCCCCTGGGTCCATCCTCCATATCCACGAACCTGGTTAAAGCGAAAGATATTCGCTTTTCGTCCTCTCAACAGTTTGTTGAATCAAATTTCAACCTTTTTATTTACATTGGTCAGACCTACCATATTATTTTGCCATAAGAATTTAATTTATGAATTCATAAAGTTTTAATGTCAATATCGACCTGTGATACATGCTTGTATAAGCCTAACAATATTTTATTCCCGAGTGGATATTTTGTCAGTCATCAAATTATCTGATTGTATGAGTATTCACATTAGCCTGCTACCGTCTTGGAACATTGGTCTCCAACCAGCTCTGTCTTGCACTCTCCTCTCTAGTTGTTGACAAGTGGTATTGATGGTCTTGATGTCTACCTGCGTTTCCCAGGCCAATGTTTTCTTTTATTTACCTCTCATGGATTCTTGTTATGCCCTACCGCAGATCAATACGCGTAGACGACTTTAAGCAACCAATGCGCAGCAAGGACGAGGGAGACTGATATTCTATTCTTGACGGTTGGCCCAATACTAACTTTCCCCGAACGAAGAGGAAGAACACAAAACTAATGATTACCAGTCCAAAATCGTTATTATATTTCAGACACCCATATGTATGTACAAGACCAGACCATGCAGCATACCTAGCGCTAGTTTTTGCTTCATAACTGATATAATTTAGTGACGAACCTAACTCAGAACACTAGCCCGACTCCTAATATGTGAACTTGGCCTGTTTCATTTACTAGTGATAATTTGGCATGCAAGGGTTAATTATTCAAGTCAAAGGTACAATACAAAGTTTCACTGTTATTTTATTGCTTTTAATTGTTAATTGTATGGCAATTGGACAGGGATTCCTAGTCGGCTGATGAGTAGCCTAAGTTCGCAAGTATAGTATACACTTACCATTTATTATGTCCGCTGTTTTAGGAAGTCATGAGTCGACTACATGATTTGAATTGTCACTGAATGATGAATACTGGTGGCGATATGCACGACAGTCTACGCGAAATACATCTTTTCACACTTGTTTATTTGAGGTATTATACATCGAAAAGTTGCTCAAACGGCGAGACTATAATTTATGGACGAACCAATCAGATATAAGATAACGAGTCACGAATTTGGGCGCGAATTTTATTCATACATTTGGCTAAATAGAGTTTTGGCATTATAGCTGATATCAGTTCGTGATGTAAACCCTAAGTCTAATTTTTAACTCTAACCATCAATTGTAAATGAGAATTCTAACTGTTTTATAACCCTCATTTGGTCCTAATTAGTAGTTGTTCATTCTCGAGGTCACTTCAGCGTCGCTCAAAGGTCTTCCATAAATTTCAGTCTCACCCTTCTGATGTAAATGTACTGGTGGTGGTGACCTGACAACTACCAGGTAATCACGTGGATTTTCGGTCTTGTATCGTCTTGCCTACCTTAGTTAAAAGTTTACAGGAACGTCAAAAAGTTTATCGTCAACCTGTTGACTGCTGACTTTCTCGTTAGGTTTAACTTCGTCTTGACTCTTGGCTAAGGTTCCATTACCGGGATTAATACAGTGGTTGTGGCCCTATCAAATTCAACACTAATAATATTTTGAGGCTATTCTTTTTACTGCTATCATTTTTCAGTACTACTTTCGTCACTATTTTGGGATTAGTAGTGATTCTTAGTAGATGTATAGTCTTCTTACTAACAACCTTGAACCTAGCGTCCGAAATATTCTGGTCTAAAATATCCTTTATAGCCTTTACTGTACCAATACTCATCCATCAACTATATATAACTGCTGTACTTCAATGTAGGTCATACCAGGCTGAGCAACTTTGTTAAGCATGTATAGGAAAAACATCTAATAGATCATAGGGTTCCATTCTTTAGATAAAATATATTGACTCAAGTGTAACTCGCAGGTTTTGTATTCAGTCCACCTTAGTCCATCTTTCTGTTAAAACAGTTCAGCTAAAAACTCCGGTTATATGCTTTGATATTGTAGAGAACTTAGAATGATAAAGGTCATGAATGAAGAAAAGCAGTAGTATTAAAAACTTTGTAGAAATACGACCAAAAGAGATGTTTAGTTAAAGTCTGTCTGATCCTTATTATAAATCGCCCCCAAATGCCCTGGTACGACCGAGAATGTGAGAGTCCGCTCACCCTCTCGAAATGCTCTCACATGGCCACGCGTATACAGCCTCTGCCAGGGAAGTCCTACTCACTACCTCGTGGCGGGGTTTCTATTTATTATTTATTTTAACACATAGATATTGGTACAAGGAGGCACCAAATGCTTATGCGCCACACATATCTCATTTGATATGTGTGAGGGCTGTGATACTGTCCGTCCGGATTTCCGTCTCCGGCGGTAAAGCCCTTTGAAAAACGTAGCTAACACATTTAAAACTTCCCGCACTGAATTGTGTAACAGTATTAGCACGGAAAACAACATTAAGAAACGGTAAAACGGAGTACTAAATGTACAAATAATTGGTTTCAGTTTATGATTGAAAAACGCTATAGCAACAATTTACGGTTCAAATAAGAGCTCGGAACTAGGATAATACGAAAATAATAAAACCAAGATACTCATTGAATATTCAATCAACATATATAAATAAGGTCGTAAAAAACTAGCTTAGAAGGTTTTTACCTCACAGTTAAATCGTCTCTTACAATATTTCCAAGTTAGGGCTTACCTATTGATGCAGTTAGTGATTTCCGCAAAGTATGTCCTGACCATTTCCAGAGTATGTTATTACCGATAGTCACTGACCAATAAATGTGGAATATCTTGCTCAAATAGCTGTTTATAAATATCTGTACACTTTTTATGATGATTACTTGGTTCAGCTTCGTACACTAGAGCTATTTTAACTTTTATACTGAAAATTCTGACTGATT